GTGTATAGTGTTATGTAATTATGTTAGTGTTATGCAACTGGAGCGCATTAGTGGGGCAAGTTCAGACAACTCGTCCAACGCGCGTCTTCCCACATCGCTAAGCGGCAGAAGGGGAGTCCCTGTTTAAAGCCCTGTTCGGCGTTTTTCTTTGGTTTTTCGTCACTGTCGGTCAAATTGTCGCCTATAACTACATTACAATTATTTACCCCGCAAATTCGTCCTGGGATTGTTGCTTTAACGCAGCCTTCACGCACTGCCCGCAACAGCGGCGCCTGCCGACTCGTTCGTGCTCGCCACGGCCACGCCTTTATCTGGAAGAAGTCACGAAGCCACGCTGCCTACTCAATCCTTTGGTGAGGTCAGTATAGGGGCCAAACCGAGCGCTCACGTCAATGAAATGATCTACCATCATTTTATCGGGATTGTTTTCTACCGGGATTCAAATGGAGAATTGCGTCCCCATTCGCGGGTTTCGAGCCGTTTTCTCTAGGATTTCTTTTGATCGGGTGCCCCTCTTACCACCTTTACTTTCACCTCAGGAGGGCAACGATTTTTTTTTCGTTTCGGATTTTTCGTAACAACTGCCTTTATTGCCTCAAATGCGTAATCACCCGGTTTTCCTACAGATGAGTCGTCTCAGTACGATCACGATCCTGATTTCGACGGTTTATCATCCAGTGACGTTCACAAGAAAGCCGACGCTAACTCTGACCACCAATCAGAAGCGAGTTGTTGGAAGCAGCAGAAGGACTCCATAGCTCACCTCCTCGAAGACGTAGGAAAATATCGACGATCGCTTGTGTGGACAAGAGGTAAATCAAGACAGCTGCTTGCAATCCAAAAGAGAGAAGAATTGTTCGACAAGCAGTGAAAATCCGCGAAATTTGGATTTTGAAATTTTGAAGTACGGAACCTATCAATTTGGCCCACAATTCCGAAAGTTTGTAATGCTGAACGGCAAAGAACTCTCAAAAAAAATGCCGACTTTCGATCCATTTATTTATTTATTTATTTGAAACGCTGCATAAGGCAGTAGTGGGAAACACATAAATGGCAACAACACAACAAGCTTTCCATATATACCCTAGCCATAAGTTCAACAATTCTTTCCTAGCTAGGCGCTCGAAAGCACAAAAGTGAAAGGACGAGTACCTCATGCGTGCAGACTAGTGGGAGCAGGGTCAACGTGACGTTCGCACTTTTTCAGCAATTTCTCGAACCCCCCCCCCCTTTAGAGTGGTCTCGACCCCCACTACCACCATGAGACTCAGGAGGCCCTCTATACGACCACCCTTCTCCCTCCCACCACCACCCTCGCCAGAATGGCTGTTTCTATAGTATTTGATTCTGAGACCAGTCGACACAGCCCAACTCCGCCCCCTTTCCCTCTAAAACAGCGTCGAGGGGGGAAGGGGTATCTCGGTGAAATGGGATGGCAAATTTGCTCTCCTCCCAACTCTTCTACGCGCCGCCAATTACATCCACCAAATCCCTCAAGAACCAATCTAACCAATCTAAATCGCCTCGCCATTTACCCAACCAATTACTAATCCCAGTTAATGCGACCCCCCCCCATCCCAAAATCAATCACAAATGCGACCCCCTCGTTCGAATAGACCGAACGTACGGCTGACTCTACAAGGAAGGTCTTTCAGGGCGTGCCAAGCTTTTTCAAAACGGTCTTTTGCATGATATAGGAGGCACATGCGGGAACCACAGAACCATGGTTAATTTTTCCTGAACGGCCCTCTGAATACCAGAAAAGGGGGTCCCTAGTCACACCTTTTTCACCAGTTTTTCAATCAAAGTCTATTTGTAAGGGTTACTGACGTCCTAATCATGAATTTGGTACTAATTATTCATGCTAACTCCATTTTGCGCGAATTTGGAAACGTCAACTCGAAATGCAAAAATTTGTCACCACGAGGAATCGAACTAGGGACCCCTTTTCTGGTATTCAGAGGGCCGTTCAGGAAAAATGAACCATGGTTCTGTGGTTCCCCATATGTGCCCCTATATCATGCAAGAAACCATTTTGAAAAAGCTTGGCACACCCTGAACGACCTCCTTGTGGGTGGAACTCTATGTCTGTGCGAAGCATCGCGTAGCAGATATGTGACTCTGGGCCAGGGTCAATCCTACGCTGTTAGAAATTCAGGGAGTTTTGGTAAGTTTTTACTGTTTCATAGTGGGTATATACCCCCCGCTCGACGGCATTTTTGGAGGAAAAAGTGGGCGGAGTTTTGGTGGGTTGAGTGGTACCAGAATTAAATACTATAGAGAGGAATATGGTGGTCGAGGTGTCGAAAAGGGGGTCGTACCAAAGTCCACCTTGGGGGAGGGGGGTCGTAAAAATTTTTGAAAAAGTAACAACGATAGGACTGACCCTGCTCTGGGCTCTTCATCTCAAACTGATGGCAGGACTGATGGTGAAATTGCCTGACAAGCAAAATCAATAATTCAAAAACTTCGAAACCAGAATGTTAAAAGTACGTATCAGGGAAATCCACATTCGCTAGGTTTTAAGCGGTGAGGTCGGTTGCATACCATTTCTCGCTTGGTACTTCTTTTCTCAATCATGCTAATTTCGCGTTTTTGCGCATTATAAAACAAAGCCACTTTTTCCTACAGAGTATCATCTGCATATTTTCTTATATAATATGCATATTCGAAAATACGAAAGTAGGGAACATGTAGGTTTCTTTTTCAGCCTACCTTTTGATCTTTCCCAAGCTCTTTAAATTTTAGTGTTTTCCACAAGTGATGAAATTATGACAAAGAAGAAGAACGGAATAAAAAGAATGATCAGCGGAACGTCGAAACTCGTGAAAACCACAACAAGGTACGTACTTATCGTTGAGGGTGTAATGAAAAGGCGATATAAGTGACGTGTACTCACTGTTGTGATTTTTTACTACGCCCGGCTCCTTTTCTTTCACATGAAGCTTCTTTCGAGTGGTTTTATTAGGTTGTCCCATAATTAGTAAATCACTTTGGGTATTTTTCAATTTTAATTTTTTTTCTTTTTCATATGAAGATTATCCACAAACTACTGCCTATTCATGGTAATTTAGTCGCTGTCTTTCTCTAGAATTCCAGGAGCTATTGATCAAAGAAAGATCGGAAGTCGTTTGAGGTCATGTCACTTAGCGTAAAATTTCTTCCTGAAGAAGAGCGCTATAAGTCAGACTAGGTTGTCTTTCGCTGGCACGAGGATAGGGCTACACGGTGGAGCTGGAAGAACTGCTAGCCTAAAGGTCTCCAATTTTTTATGATTTTCCGCAAGGTGGGGTCGAACGACCTCAGAAAAAAAGCAGACTTTGTCTTGCTTTACCTTCAGATTGAACGCGTCGCCATTATGCTGTCGACGTTTGCCTTCTTCACTGACCCTAGTATTACTGGGCGGCGGTTCCCAGCGCAAGGTCCTTTCGTGCTCCACAATATCTCAGAAGTGTCGGACATAGAGGAGGTTGGGCTTTTGCTGTCAGAACTCCCGAATCTTTTAAGCTAGGCTACTGCTCCTTGTGATTTGCTAGCACACTCCACCCACTTCACAACACTGGTGAGTACGCAGGATGATCACTGAAAGAACTCTGGGAACCAGAGGGAACATGGCGATTCCATATCGTGTTTGGGTAAAGGTTCCAAAAAAACTGAAGTTTTGACTTCGGAAGGCAACATGCGAACAGGGTCGGTCCTATCGTTGAGACTTTTGCAAAAATTTTACGACCCCCTCCTTCATGACAGTTTCATACGACCCCTTCTTCACACTTATTTTTCCCTCAAAAAACACCGTCGAGCGGGGGTATATAACTACCATGAAACCGCAAAATTCCTCATTTCCCTTTACTTTTCCCTCATTCCCTCATTTTCACTCTGTTTTACCTGTTTTTACCCATATTCCCACTACAACATTTTCTGGGAGGGAGGTGGGGGGGGGGGTGATTTCTGGCTAGGCATGAGTGTCATCCGGGGGTGCTAGCAATGGACTCGATTCCCAGGCATTCCGCTCAGTCCCCTTCTCTACGACTGTCGGGCATCGGAAATGAGGGTCATTTGTGAACGTATATCTCCGTCAGGAAAGCGCTGATATAAACTGGGTACTTTGAATTGGGTTATGATTGCACCTTGAAGGTCGCGCAAATGTTGACAACAACGAGTGTCAAAATATTACTTCAGTGGAAACTCGTGGTAAACTTTTTATTGAGTATCTTGAAAATTCTTCAATTCACTAGACTGAATATTTTCTACAGAACTTTTACCTTTGCCTAACAGTTTTGCTCCATGTATCATCTTTGCTATTCCTGCAGGCAGGTCAGTCAAGGGGTTTCTAAAGGTAAAAGAAGTGAGTTTATCAGGGTGCCAGCCGAAAGTACGGTAGAGGGGTTGGATGAGAAATTCTTTGGGAGATAAATATCAACTTTTCTCGAGCAGTGCCTTTCTCGTAAGTAACCGGAAGTAGAGATGCGAACAAAATCCACAAATAAGTTCTGGTCGGCAGTCCAACTTTCGTGAAAACGGCTCTCAAATGACATAAACTTTGCAGAGGTGTTTATCTTGTATCTATTGTCTATAAAAATGGAAAAATTCTATGCACGAACGACGACTGCATTCCAATGTTGTCCGTGAGTAAATTGTTGTGTGGTTATCAAACCACTTTTGAATTTTTTTTTCTTGAGGTTGTGTTTGTGTTCATGTTTTTATATTTGGATAGATTTAGTTTTGAATATTTTTATAGATTTGTAAGATTTAATCACTCTTATCAGGAGGTTTTCAGGTTGACGAGGCCGTGACTACCATATCGTGCGAACACCATTACTGGCTTTTGAAAATGTCATGGTGTTGGGAATACATAAGCGGTATGATCGACTCGAATCCCAACAATTACGATAACAGCGAGTGTCTGACGTTAGTACTACTACTTCTCATTTAAAAGAAGAGTTTACGATGAAAAGTTAGCCCACAAGCGATTAAGGTAGAGGTGGCCAGTGATGTATAATAGAATGGAGAGAAAACCAAGAAAAACGACTCGGACCCCAGTTACAGATAACTTTTTGCCCCTCGATTTGTGCGCTAGGCGTGCCTTATAACCATATCAGAGCTAACGCTCTCTCGCTAGGGGTGTGTGGCGTTTGTCCTCCTGGGGTCAGGCTGCCGCCGCACGCGGACGACCGGGCTCGCCGCGTGTGCGGCGATTCTGCGATGTGGAGCTTTCGTATTCGTCCACGCTGTGTCCCGATGTTGCAATCCTTCATTTTGATTGTCAGTTCAACTTAACAAACTTTTAGATTAGCCACTATACTAAGAGTCCATTTACTTGCTCTCCAATGTACTTCATTCTGGTTTGGGCATTCACAGATCCGAGTGCCTCGCTTCTTAAGTAGAGAGCTCTCAGCAAACATTATAAAACGGCAGTGATAGATCTAAAAAATCCTTGACAAGACCCAGAAATAGATCATAAGTGACGATTCCATCACCTTATTAATTAGTGATACCACATAGATAAAACAGCGAGCAAGGATTGAATTCGAGACTTAGTGGCAAAGATAATTATGGCTGAGAATTTGTAATTGGAAATGTTCTTATAAGGCAGGCAGGGCGAAGAAGAAAATATTCGTACTAAAATTCCATATCATGGTAGAGCTGACAATGGTCTTTCTGAAAAATAGCATTTGTGCTAGTATATTGATCGCAAGTCGAAAACTTGGCAAAATGACAAAGAGTGGCGTCATCGACACCCAAAACTTGGCAACGTGCTAGAGATGGGCCGAGCGAACCACCACACGCCACACCGAACCACCACATCGCCTTCGCCGCATCAATCGCCGCGTGCGACGGCGCGGCGGCGGCCCCAGGAGGACAAACGCCCGTCTCCCTCTCGCTAGAGCGCCTACAGACAGACGGTGAGGGTGTGGGCGGGCGTGGCGCAAACGACACGGGTATTTCTTTTTAGTCCACAGGGGTGCGTGTCAACAGAATCGTCCGAAGACCCGCGCTAGTGGTCGCAGTCGCGACGTCGCGATGCGATGGACGAGTTTCTGTGAGCGTCGTTCGCTTGTGAATGGGGTGTCCCTCCAGGCCCACCGCGCGGCGAAGCAAGAGACGCAGATGCGGCAAAGGACGAGTCGCAGCGCGTGCTGTGCGATATGAGACGTAGTATGGTACACTCTATTTAACCTGACGCCTAACCGCTACAGTATGCGCTGCGACTCGTCCCTTTGCCGCGTCTGCGTCTCTTCCTTCGCCGCGCGGTGGGCCTGTTGGGGACACCCTTGTGAATGTACAGGGACGTTAGACCGACTCCTTCCTTCAACATTTCAACCAGTACATGGGTGATTTCGGTCCCAGTAGACCCTTTTCCGTTTCCCATTCCCATATGATGCGGGAATGAATAGTTCCACCCAGTTTCCTGCTTATTCTGTTTTTCTGGTCTGAATTCTGACCTTGCTGAGGTTTTTACTGCATAGAAGGGTTGGAGTTCAAGGGAATCGTGCACGGTAATTCAAGACATTCCATTCTTCCATAAAGCGTCACTTATGTCAAATTCACTATTACATGATGACTTGATGATATCAATGAAAGTCTTTTACATGTTGCGTCCACAACTGCACATAAATATGATTGTTTCCTAGGAGAAGGCGTCAATCACCTTTTTTTCCCATGTTAAGGACAGTACTCACAAAGTATTGTAGTTTATACACTAGAATAGAAGTGTTAGAAATTACAAGAGCAATGCTCTCATGGTACTTAGAAATAAGTCACCTCCGTCTTGTATAATACAGACCGTGATAAAATTTCGAGAAGCACAAACAACTTTCGCACTTAGGAAGCCCTCTTCTCCTCAAACAATAAGGCCAATCCTGAATCAGAAATCAATCCTAAAACTGAGCTTTCCCGTGGATCTAACACAGTGTTATGGAAGAAAAAGGTATCTCGACAAGCAAAATGGACTTCGATGTCCGCTTGATTAATGTGGACTGCAGCTAATTCATCGCTCCAATCGACAAAGTCAATTATTGCCGCGCCCATCGAAAAACTGCCGCGTTACGACGCCGCGCAAGTAACCGCGCGCGACGGCGCCACTCCCGGACGATTCTGTTGACCGCTCCCCGTCCACAGAGGCAGAGGGCACGCCCTTCGATGCATAGTCAGCAGCGTCCCGCACCCTTAGGAGATGCCTGCCTCGCCACTAGGTATGCATATTTCCCTTCTTCGACCTCCGACCTATCATGGATTCTTCCTTTGAGGGCAAACTTTGAATGAAAGCCTCAAGGGGGAGTGGTGATCCTATTCAAATTGATAACTGTGGGTGCTAAGTCATTCGTAAGAGAGGAAGAAACACACGAAAAATTCGAGAGAGTACAAATGAGGAACACTCTATTCACAATCTTCGGACGACGTAGCACGGTGGTCGTGCGCCTTCGAACGAGTTTCCTGAACGGCTAACTCTATGCTACTCGCTGACTCCACTGATCGATGTGGTTGTGAAGTTTAACCTTTCAAACAACCGGTTGTGATGCACAGCAGTGAAGCGCAGTGGTGGCACAGCCGTAGTTGCTGCCACATTGTCGAAGAGAAAGCCTTGCGACCGCCAACGGGAGGCGAGGTCTGCGGATGAAGCAGGCATTACGGGCTGAAATTTTTCAATAACGCCTTCAATGTGGATTTTCAAACCGCAGAAACGGCAACTTGCACGTGGACCCCCTTCAGAGGGGGGGGTCGCAAAAATTTCGAAAACGTGCGAACGTGACGGTTGATCCTGGCGACAAGTTATCACGCCCGCCACACTGCAATGATCGGTGATGAAATCAGCGAATGTACCGCACCGTGTGTTCATTAGATTAGCATGTGATCGCTGCTTATATGTAGTGTGAGCTAGTCAGCCTCTCATACTCTCCATCTTCAACACTGCATTCGAACCATACCTGTTTTGCCTGCTAACCTGAGATCACATTAAAAACCGTTCGTTGAGCGGCGCGGGCGAGAAGAGGGGCATATGTTATAAAACAACAACAATTATAATTTCAAAACTGACGCGAAATCCTCAAATTTCACGACATTTCCCTTCACCTTAAAGGCAAAGTTTGGGCTCAGACCCACTTAATGAGCCTTTACGGTGGCTAGAAGCGCTAGGTACGCAAGTGTAGAGGTCGCGTCACTTCCCTACTTCGAAAAGCGTTATTTAGACGCTAGGCGCTAAGAACTTTGACACGCTCCACCTGTTGCGACACGCTCCGCCCACCGCTCGATATCTTGTCTGCGTCGCAATGTTGATCTGCTATGCTCTCTCTACTCGGACTTCTCTAGCGCTCTCCGCGCTCACATTATCTCTCATCTCCCTGCCGGCCTTTTGAACTTCTCCGCAGCGTAGAGCAAAAGGCTCGTATTTCCTGTGTATTTCACGATTTTTTTCTTTTTTCTCCACTGGCGGTCCACTCCTACCCCTACTTTCACATTTGAGTGGAATTACCTCATAATTTAATCCTGAATCTTGCCTTGAAGTATAATGATCCTGCTCCCCTTCCACTATCCCGAATCACACTACTAATTCCACCCACTACGATCCACATAAATGCTAACGAGGGGTGGCCTTGACGTTAGCTGACCGACAGTGGTCGCGCTCCCTATGAGCTGAGTGCATCTGCTATATTTGTTATGTAATGAAGTATCGATACCAGTGCTTGCCCTTACTTTTACAACCACCTCGACCAGTGATATCCCGATGAATTCCGAGAAACTCTTTGGGCTACCTCTCAGCGTTACTGTTTAGTTTTCGTTCGAAACTGATGAGTGCAGTATCTTCGATGCGTTCAGTGCTTGGTTTGGATAACATTGGCCACCTACATCATGTTCCTATTATTCATGATGACACCGTTTTTCTAGTCACGGTTCGATTCTTAGATCTCGACCATCGTGTACAGGTAGGTTTTTAGTAAGCAAATCAAACATCAATCTCCGGCCTATGTTTCAAGAACGTTTTTTGCAGGGTGTTAACTTAAAATGGCTACCGTTTCAAAAGGTGCTGAGAAAGAAGTCGAGTAGCTCTGCACAGACTACACTCGTACGTGAAGTTTTAAATATCACTAGTTTCTCAAGGAACAGTAGAGTGACATTGAAGAGGTATGTACCTAAAGGTTACATATCGCTTGCTCTTGCGGCCACTTGTTCCTTGTCACTGCCTCTCCTTTGTAAGACAAAATTGTGCAGATTCCACGTTTCCTGTTCTCAAAGGCGGATGTTACGAGAAAATCGTGCTCCTTGGAGCTAAAAGTAGAGGTGGGATGGTAGCACATTGCCTCTAAAAACTTAAAGTTACCGCTCCTCAACATGAAATGCCCTCTGACGCACCGCGCCGCATGGAAGTAAGCAAACCAGCCCTTTTGGCGTTTCTGCTGGGGCCGTATGCTGAATGTTGGGGAGGGGATGGGTCCCCGACGGTCGACGGACTACTTCAACTCGGTCCTTAAAACCGCCACAATTTGATGCTTACCTCAGAACTAAGCCTTAAAGAGAGGACGGGTGCGTCCCCTCTCCAAGGCTTAGTCCTGGGTGAGCAAACCAGCCCTTCTGGCGGAGCTGCTGGACCAGCTGCACCACTTGCGTCAGTACTCTCCTATCGTACCGACCGAGTTGAAGTAGTCCGTCGACCGGGGACCCCATCCCCTCCCCAACATTCAGCATACGGCCCCAGCAGAAACGCCAAAAGGGCTGGTTTGCTTACCTCCGCCGCATGTCTTTAATCTCAGTGGTAGGCATACCACTCCTCGATTCATGCTCAATCTATCGTAACATTCTCCTTCGAGGCCTGGGCATAGGACAATTTCTTGTACAGCTGCTCCGTTCGGGTTGGTTGTGAAAGAACCGCACTGTTTTACCGAGGTTTTTATCACAGCGTCAGTTTCGATGACTTGAAAGTCATTTGATACTTACTTTTATATCTTACATGCGCTGACGAAGCGTCCCATCGGACGCTTGGTGCAGCGATTCCTGCGAGCTCCAAACATAAAAGGTGGCATCTACTGGTAGGGAAGGCTTTCAGCATCTCGGGCAGCTTCGAATTGGAGCCTAGGTAGGTTGATATCGTTAAGAGTATGTGTAAGTCACAAATAAGTATACCAAAATTGTTACATAAACTTCCCATGAAAGTTGTGAGCAGTAAAATCTACAAGAAAGCGCAATTAAGTAAGATGAGGCCAAACTGACGCTTGGTGCCACACACCCTCCAGTCCCTGTGTCAAATGTGCCTCATTGTCATATTTCACGCTAACTTTCTACCCGTGGAGGTGAAAATTATGAGAACATCAAAAATGCCGATGAAAATAGGTCAGCTCTTTCATTTACTCGCGCCACATTTCCTGGCAACTTTGACAGTTTATACTTTGCTTGGAATGTTTGCGCAGCCGTTTTCGTCCCATATTGTACTACATAGCACTGCATTGCAATTATAACTAATGATCCCGAATGCAAGTAGATTACACGGCGCGTCCTAAAAATGATCTGGTTTACATAGGATGCTTTATCCTTTATTTTTCAAACCCAGGCGGCACGGCTGCACAAGAAAATCAAGTGTAGCGTGGGTATTTTCTGCTGGGGAGCAAGTCTCTGCTACTGACCTAGGTATCGGTGTCGCACCAGAGTCAACCCTGCGTTGCGCAGTTCGCAACGGCACGTTGAGAGATCCTCAACGCACGCTGTATGGGCGGAGACGCAGACGGCTCGAGCATGCGAGTGTGAATGTTCGCGCGAGAGAACGTGTCTAATCGGGCGAAACTGCGCAACGTGGCCGTTGAGAACTGCGCAACGCAGGGTTGACTCTGGTCGCACTCCTGTAATGCAGTGGTACGAAGCAAGTGGTCGCCAGAATGTTTACAAAATCGGTTTTCACCAGATTCATCTGTAACATTCAATTTTAGAGGCCTATATCTATGTTATATGAAGCTGAGCTGCTCCTTAAATGCAGTACATATCGCCGTCACGAACAGTTTGCCGTCCTTCCTCCCGTACGCACTTGTTCGAGATGATCCTAACGTCACGCAGGAAGAATGGGAATATATCAAGGTATCTTTCAAAAGATGAGCTTTGACAATATTACGTAACTCCAGTGGCAGTCAATTGATGCGTGCGCCCCATCAACAAGGTATTATGAGACCAGGTTTCTGCTCTGAATAGTAAGCGATGGTCATTTTGTTAATTTTGCGATTCTTATTCTTGTGACGGTGTTTTTGCTGCACACGCGTCTCTGAGGCGGATGACATGAAAAGTTGATCGCCGATGGAACGGTAGGGTGTAGGTGATAGAGGTGCAATGCCGAAAAAAAACCGTGGATAACGGCCCAAAGCCCGCGAAGCGGTACTGGCTTCTATTTCCGTTTGATTTCTGCTTCTGGTGAGTCACATTGATGCTGAAGTCATCGACGTGAAGCCAGAGTCAACCCTGCGTTGCGCAGTTCTCAACGGCCACGTTGCGCAGTTTCGCCCGATTAGACACGTTCTCTCGCGCGAACATTCACACTCGCATGCTCGAGCCGTCTGCGTCTCCGCCCATACAGCGTGCGTTGAGGATCTCTCAACGTGCCGTTGCGAACTGCGCAACGCAGGGTTGACTCTGCGTGAAGCTGCGCTCTTCCTCTCCGTTAAAACGGCTAGAGTACTGCGGTGAGGGATCAGCAGCTAGGTTAGTAAATCGTGGGCGGGCAAAGGGACGAAGCGTTGAATGGGACGAGAAAGCTTTGCTAGGCCGCCATGGGCGCGCCCTTCGTCTGCAGAAGCCCCACCTTTCCTGAAGGCACAGAATTTCTTTGTCAGGCATGTTTGTCTCTCTTCAACACTAAGGTCAGTAAACCACTGTGATGCGCTACGCACCGTGCGGAGCTGTGTAGCGGAATCTCCCACGAGGGGACCTGTTTGTAGATCTGGCAGAAAGGTGGCGTCATCGTTCAAAATTCATGTTATTGCATAGTATTGTATTGTTGCAAGGTAGGGGTCGTTTTTGTAATTTCTGGGAGGGGAGTAGGTTTTTGTATTGGGACATTAGGGAAAGTTATAGTGGGGGGGGGGGGAATGGCGCATAGATGACTTTTTGGAGTTTTGGGGGCGGCATTGAAAGTGTGTCACGTTGTACTAAGTTTTCTCAACGACGCTATCGATGTACCACTCGTAACGGCCTCGTATATGGATATTTTTTCAACATCATGCTCCTTATCCGCATAACGATTTAAACAAGAGAGTTTCTGGTACATTTCCTCGATCGATGTGAAATTTTACAATATTCTGAGCTCAGACTGCAACTGCGACTTCTTAGATTAATTCAAGATACATTGTGGAAAATTTTAGAATTTTTCTATAACGTACACAAAATGAATGAAGAAGAGGATCATATCGGGAGGAGAGAAAAGGTCACCAGCGGCGCGGACGCGAGCGCGTGCCGGTGACGTCACAGCTGCGATAAGTGCGACGAGAAGGCAAAAAGGACAGTGTCGCTGCCTTTTCGCTCGATTAGTGGAAGGTTGCTGGCACCTTACCAACCAGTGCAATCAGTAGTGCTGTGGGAGCAGAGTAATTGTATTGTGTATAAGTACCATTTTCGCGCTCGAAAATCAGGAATTCTTTAGAATGTGGAGGAAATCAACGCCTTCATGGGTGAACTCTTGGAAGTGCGCAATTAACTCGAAGGTTATTGCAATATTCCTAATATCCGTCGGTTGTTCCCGTCACTTCGTTAACTTAGAGCACGATAGAGTGTATAATACGTTGTGTATCGAAGTATTTTCGTCGAACCTTGCTCGTTACTCTCTCCCTCGCCGCGCTTTGACGTCAAAGTGACGTCATCCGCACGCGGTCGCCTCCGCGCCGCCGTTGAACTATTCCATGGAGCCACTCATATTATTCGATGAGATGGGACTTATTAGCTAACCCCTAGACCATGCATGTGAATCATATCAGATGTTTGACAACAAAATTTAGGCATCGGACACGGACCCAGACTTCGTTCCCTCTGCTAACCAGATAAAATTCCAAGCGGCTCTCTCATCTGCGATTCATACACTCTTCCATGATCTCGATATTGATTCGGATATTGTGCCAGGACATCGGCTGTACAGTGCTGAAATACTGAAACCTAATGGCAACATTTCCCTAATACTGGTAGGTACTATTTGCTCACGTATTGTACAATAATGCCGTCACAATCAGAGAGCGAAGCGCGGCCACAACATATAGATGTTGGTGAGGAAGCCATTAGGAAGTGGGCTAAGGTGCGCAGTCACCGATGCCGTATCTTTGTTGCCGCACGCGGCAGCAGTAATAAGGTTTTATACTCCGCCTATGACGCGCCGCCGCAACCTGGGCCTCCTGACCGAGACCACGCAATGAAGCCGTTGTGCAGTGCCGTGTCCTTCGCTGTTATGCCACTAGTTCTTTTTTTCAATTATATAAATAACTAAACCTTCCTTTGGTTTGGATCTAATTCCTGCTTAACGACAAGGCTTTTGCTGGGTTTAGGGAAAAACATCCACATCATTTTTTTATGTGAATATTTCTTTTGAACGATGACTAACCGAAACTCCCAGCCGGACACGTGAACGGTCTACGACATGTTGAAGAACTGAATTCAACTCGCATGATTGTGACAGGCTTCTGTGAACAAATGCGACTTACACCAGACGCATGCATTGGCTCGGCGAGAGAGAAAAACAAACGCTGCGCTCCAATTTCTGATTGTGACATTCCATTGATTTTATTTATTATCATTAACCCTTACCGTTCCATTAAATAATAATAATTGATATTACTAAATGATTGATTTGTTTAAGATTCTCCCTAGACCTGATGATGTATGTTCGGCACCGTCAGGGCTTCTTCAAGTACAGTCACAGCTTCATCGTAAATGTGATTCTCTTCCAATTGCTGCCTTCGAAATCAGTAAGTTCCAGAATTTTCCACACATCTTGTTCGCAAACATAGAAGAACGTCGAACACCTGTGGAATTACAGTTCATCAGTCTACTTATCAGCCGGAATTCTTCATAACGTACTGCCGCCTTTCCATATTCCTGGAGCATTATCTCATGGTAATCATCTCTACGTGACCTACTTATGCAGGACTCTTTTCGATGAAGTAACAACGCTGCTCTAGGTTTGTCAATTTCACCAAAGGAAGTGTCTGCTGGAGAACGATGTGCAAGTCTACAAATCTCTCTACGAAGGCCTTTTGGAATTTCAGGTGAGACCATGAGTTTGGTGAATATAATTCGTCATAAAGGCAAAGTTCGGGCTCAGACCCACCTAAGAAGCCCTTACCATGGCTAGAAGTGCTGGGTACGCAAGTGCAAAGGTAGCGCCACCTTTCTACATCGAAACGCGTCACTAGGACCCTAGGCGCCATGGACTTCCTAACAGACTCCACAAATTAACACATTGACGACAACGCGGGGGATATATATCCCGCGCATTGCAGGCCATGTCGGACCGTGCGGGATATATATCCCCCGCACCCATTACACTCATTTTTTTCGCGCACGCCTGATTCTTTTAGAAGTTTCTTGTATTTATTCCATGGAAGAGACCTTGACGTAGCTACAAACATAGTGGCCCATAGAATGGTCACGTATGCTTTAATTTAGAGGAGGATTTCTGAACCATACGAAATCTTCAGTTTAATAAATTTTTCGTTTACTTTTTCTTTTTATGAATGTGAAGATTTAAATAGTAGTAGAAGTAGATACGGAACCTTAGGGATGACAATATGTGTGTTTTGATTGGAAATAATCAACGTAAAATTGCTTTTGAGGTCCATTGCAGCTAGTTCTGAAAAATTTCGCTTTTTCATTGTTATTCCATGTCTTTCGATCGAAATTCCACTACTGTACCCCTGGGTAGGTTGTGCTCATTACAATTTACTGATCTGGTTTTGTATTGATCATTATTTATGTGTTTATCACTCAAAATCTGCTTGAATGACCTGACCAGAAACGGATGGTTGGTCGAAGTGGCCATATGTAA